TGTAGCACATGGGCTCAGTAGTCGGGGCTCCCAGGCTCTAAAGCACAGGCTCAACAGTTGTGGTGCATGGACTTAGCTGCTCCGTGGCATGTGGGATCTTCTTGGACCAGGGATTGAACCCAAGTCTCCTGTATTGGCAGGAGGTTCCTATCCACTGAGCCACCAGGGATGTCCGCAGGATGCACATTTTGAGTCAAGTTTCTGCTTTTAAGAATTTGGATGCTAATATATTTTGGTAAATCACTTCAATAAAAAATTATTTGATTCATGTAAAAAAGAAAAGCTAATAATTTCCCAGAAATAGATGGGTTTGCATTTCAAAATGTGTTTTTGTTATGTTAAATTTATAAAATTTTGCACCCAGCTTGAGTTTAGTTCAGGATCTTTTCTGAATGACTTCCAAGGAATCATTGTTTAGAATTTACTGTGCAAAAGGAATTGGTGAGATGCTGGGCTAAATGCTGTTCATAAGAGAAATATGAGATATTCTTATCTTGGCTTTCCAGAATTTTATAATCCAGCTGAGGTAATAGGACTGAAAAATAACTATAACATAAGATAGTATGTAATACAGCTAAGCAAGAGTTGCAGAGAAATATCACCACGAGAGGAGGACATTTCAAGCTAGCTTGATCAGGAAACGGTTCAGAGAAAAAGTGGGATTTGACTGAATTTGGGCTGTGAAGGAAGCACCTTTATGAGTGAAGGTGGGAAAAGACAGAGGGCACGTGAGTTTTAGGCGATGGTCCACATCTGGGGAAAATCCTGGGCGCAAGGTTAGGCTGGGTTGGGAGGAACAGGGAGAGAGAGGTTGAGTCTGGGCTGCCTGACATCATTAGGAAGTCATTGAGGGCAATGAGAAGTGGGGTTCCATGATTAAACTAGCACTGTGGGGAGATCAGCTGGGTCCTGTGGACAGACAAAGGCATCATCTCCTGGAGCAGGGAGAGCTGCTAGATGGTGGAGACTTGCCAGATCTAATGCAACAGGAATGAAGAGCGGCCCCCAAGGAGGAAGGCACACGTGGGGTGATGACTTGACTGTCAGGGTAGGTGAGCGAGGGATGAGTGACATGGTGAGGTTCTGTGCCTGCAGTGCTTGGGGAAAGAGGACTGCATTGGCCAGTAGGGAGAGCTCTATACTTCCACTGATTTCCCATGGAAATGCTGTCCATCCTGTCTTAACTCTGGGCAATCTGGGGGGAGGTCGTGACATGAGGTCCTCAGAGGGGCCAGTTGTTGATGAGGTTGTGTGTGTGCAACTCTGGAGAACCCGTGGGCTCCTGGGAACCTAGATGTCCCCTGGGGTTGAGGGAGAAGACGGCTGACCTCTGTGTCTCTCATAGTGCAGGGTTTGGGACTTTCTCTGGAAGCCGTGTCAATCTCCTCCTGACTCCACTGGGAGGTTTTTGAAGTTGCAGAGTCAAGGTGGACATCTGGCCATCCAGCATCATTTTTATCCTGTTCTCAATAGCAATCCTCTTAAAGTCCATCCCTCCCCAAAACCTTGTCCCTGTGGTCCAAGGGGACACCCTCCAGACCTGGCTCTAGCGGGGTGGTGAGTAATCCAGGGATACAACCCACCTAATATTTTCAGGCAAGTGCATGGTTCAGGAATGACCATTGCCACCCAATTTAGAATTGGTGTTGAGCCACTGGGGAAGGGGTCTCTCTGGCTGTTTCCCACTGGATTTGAACCTGAGAAGATGTAAGGCTGAGGTGACTGCGGGCATCAAGTCACCATGTGGCTCCTGGGAATCAAGTCAACAACTGCCAAGAGAGCACAGGTTGTCTTTTAAGTATTTACTTTAAAAATGTTTTGGCATGAAGAGTGCACTGCCTGAGTGTAGGTTAGATTCTGTGATATCCTATGGCCTACTAGCTGGCATCTGAAGTACCTCTTCAGAAACCCGCCCTTCACAGGGGGTTGCTGAATCCCTTTATATAATTTATCAGTGAAATGAGTGATGTGGAAGCACAAGGGGGACCAGAAAGACCCTGCTCTCGTCTCCCCTCTGTCCGATCAGATTATAGATATCCCACCAGCCTGATGACCCCCGTCCTGGCAACCTGGCTCTTCTGGTCCTGCATACCCTTTTCCCAGAGTGGTGATGGGAGCTCCCCTTAGAGTGAATCTTTCAAGCAGATGCTCATTGGAGGATCCAAAGACAGAATGGGGTGCTGCAGAGCTCAGGTTCTGCAGAGAAATAAAATCATTTTCCTTCTACCCTTGTGGGTTCTTGAAATATCAGACAGATTAACGAGAGGAGAACAATCAAAAATTGATTAGCATGTATGCCTCCTGTATTCATGGAGATAACCAGGGAAAACTGAGCAACTCCCCGAGGTGGCTTAGAATCCAGGCTGAAATATTACTTAATGGAAAGGGGAAGGAGAAAGTAGCCTTAGGGGAGAGTGAATGGTGATCAGGAAAGATGAATGGGCCCTTGGAATAGATGGGGGGAGAGGGGAGTATGGCCTTCTGTGACAAAATGTGTGAGTGTGTACTGTCCCTTCCTGTGACAAGAGTCAGTCAGTTTGATGAAACCCCCAGGGAGGGGATTTATGGTGACTGAGCTCCTTTTGGAGGATCTCTTTAGGTAGAAAAGGGAGTTCAGAGAGAGCCCTTCCCTGTATTTGCTATTTTTCAAGTTCCTACAACTGAAAATAATCTGCACACCAACGTGGTCTAATTGGGGTGGCATGCCCTGAGCTCCTATATGCATATATTGGGGTGGCATATTCTGCTACCCTTAAGTCCCATGACTTTTGTGTCTGTTGGCTAAGTATGTTTTTATGCACTTGTCAGGCTTTGGTAGAAGGTTTGCCTTCCTAGTTCCAGCTTCCGACAGCAGAGGAGCAGTGGCTAGAGCCCACTTGCCTCTTAGAGCTGCTGACGTGGGTATTTCCCGTTGACTCCCCTCCTGTAGAATGACCACATTCCCTTCAGGCTGAACTGAAAGACGGAGGAAGAGAATGTTCTGAGGACATTCACTGAGCCCTGAATTTGGCTGTGGCCCCTGGACTTTTTCAAGGATGAAGGCATTATATCCCCTTTTCGCTCTGGCATTTTGTTTCAAATATCTGTGAAAGAGAGTCCTAACTGATCAGCTCTTCCCCAGCAGTACACACGGTGAGACTGTAACGATACGGCACCCAGTCAGTCATCCTTGCACAAACAGAAGCCCAACACACATGTAAACTCTATTGAATTCATTCCACTTTATTTTGGGATGGATACTAGAGACCACAACTCACAAACATACCAGTGGACATTGAAAACTAAGGCCATTCTGTGAGTTATTTTTAAAACCTAGTGTTTTGCACATAATGATCTTTTTTAAAAAATGAATTACCAAAACCAAGATTTCTCTTCTGAAATAAGAATATAAGGTCGGCACATGACAACTTTAGGGCCATATCTAATCTGAAACTCATCATGTGACAAGAGCATCTTTGTTTTCTACAACATAAATCATAGCCCTGAGGCAACCGCTACCCTCAGCATCAAGTTCTCTTTTCCAGATGGCATCATAAAGTAGTATTGACCACAGTAACCAGTGTTCTATAAATACTCCCAGTGAATAGCAAAGAGACTTTTACCTAAGAGACACACTGCAGGATTCTTGGAACAAGAAAAAGAAAGGGACCTGTAACTAAGGCACTGAAAGCACATTATTTATATAAAGAAATGTAAACAATTTAATACCAACAGGCTCCCTCCATTAGTCTCTATTATAAAAGTGCACAAGGGCAGCATGGTCAGGCGCTTGAAGTCCGGGTGAGATGGGAACGTCTCCCTGGAGTCTCAGCTGCCGACGGTCGACAACGTCTGACTTAGGGCTGTGGACGTAACTCATTTCAAAGTGACTCAAGAGGAAGCTATGTTTTAGTAGCATGACAAACAAGGAAAGGATTTTACTAACAGCTTTAAATTATGGGCTCTGACATTTATTTTTCTTTCAGTCTTCCACCATGTTCTTCTACTGGATTTTACAAGTACTTTGGCTTGTTTCATCAAAGAGGCCTGGTGGCAAGCCTTATGGCCTCATCAGTGCCCTTCGTTCGTTGTATGTTTCTATTTTAAGTGTAATCTTTCACGTCCCCTATAAACCACACTTGCTTTATTTAAAACATTTCCAAATGGGAAAGATGTGACAAGTGGACACATAGCGCTGTAAACATTTCAAACTCCACTGAGTTTACTTTTGATGGACTGAAAGGGCTTTAAGATGGAGGCGAGGGCCCATATGCAGCCAGACAAGGGGCTGCTGAGTCCAGAGTGAGGGTGGGAGGTGGGGAGGGGCTCCTTCCTGGGGCCAAGCAGGACTGAAGCTGCATTAACCTCTACTTGACATTACTACTAATCTCTACTTGCTATCAGTTTTAGAGTTTAAATCATGGACCATATATTTCTTTAAAGAAGAGAAGAAAAAGTTGGGTAGGAAAACACAAATAATTACAATTTTAAAAAGAAGCCTTATTGCAACCCCTTCCCATCCCCCCCCCCAAAAAACACAAACAAAACACCCCCCCCCCAAAAAAACCCAAAAGAGGCAACTTTTTTCTTTTTAAAGTTACCATTTCTAAGTCTTAGAGCAACTACAATGTCTCAGTTTCTGGGCTTATGAGTTCTGGGCATTAAAAAAAGAGCTTGCGTTTTATCATAAAACATGTTTTTTTTTTTTTTTAAGACCAAAAGAAATCGTGTTTAAAAAGTGAGAGTTCCCCCTTTACAGGTTTCAGAGGGTTAAAGAGGACCTGGCATTAAAGCCAGAGGAGCCAAGAGAAGCCTGGAGGAAGGGGGAACAGCCTACATTACAAACACCTGAAGGGCAGAAAGTGCGGCCTATCTCTCTTACCCAGGACAAAGGCAATCCTGATTGCTGAACTATTTTCTTGTTTCCAAATATAACCAGAAGTCGGAGAAAGACCTAAATTAAAAACGTCTTTTATTGGGGGTTGGGGGTGGGGAGAAGGTTTTAAAAAAAAACAACCACCTTAAAAACCACTGAAGCCCTGGGTCTGGAGCAGATGTGGGTAGTACCGAATCAGAAGCCCCAGCAGTACTGGAAACAGCCTCGGGGGAGGAGTTAAACAGGCTGGGCCTTCAGGAGAGGCCCTAGTTAGAACCCTCCCAGTGAAGGTGGTGTGCTGACAGGGGGCTGCTGTGACCAGGACCTTCCGGAAGAGTCTGCCTGGTAAGTCCAGCTCGCAGCGTGCTTGCCTTCCCCGGCGATGCCCGTGTCCGCTGCTCACTGGATGGAAATCACCGTCCAGCAAAAACAAGACGCCATTAAGGAGAAAGCACTTGCGCCAAGAGTATACCAAGCTAGAAAGAATGTTTGGGGCTGGTTCAAGGCAGGAATAAGCAGGCAGGTTTGCTTTACAGGACAAGACTTTTAATTGCCCCATCTTTTCTGCTACTCTGACCAGCATTCCCGTTAGGACAAAATAAATAAATAAAATTTAAAAAGTAATTGCAAGGCTCCAGTGGAGTGGAAACCTCGACCACATATTTCTTTTTTTTTTTTATGCTTCAGAAGGAGACTGGTACTGTTGGCTTGCTGGATTTTCCACTGACTCCAAATGACAAGAATATTTAGGAGAACAATTGGTCAAAAGTGGGTTTAAATTTTACTAGTGAAAGAGGAAGCCTGAGACTAAAAAAGAGAGAGATCCCTATCATTAAGAAAGGATTCATTTTTGTGACCATTTTGATTTTAATAAAATTTGTCAAGGCTACAAGGGTTGAATAATTTAGGTTAAACCATTACGGCCCTGTCTGCAAGTGTTTTTGTTGTTGATTTAGTGGCAGAAGTTAGACACACATGCACATGTAGAAAATACAATAACCTTCCTTTTTTGTGGAAGGTTTTAAAGAAATATTTCAACCAAGACACAACTTCAAAAGTGAGTTTCTGACGGCAATACCAGAATGTTCTCAAAAAGGTAAGTGACTTTGATGTATACCATTGTTAATGCAGAAAAGCGACACCTGCCAACAAGCTGTAAAGAAACAAGTGCTAAATATGCAAAGGTACACAGAAGTGAAGAACTACTGTTTGAAGTCCGAGCTTTAAAAATTTACACTAAGGTTTCTGAGTGGAGAGCCTGTGGTTGCTCCCTGAGACTCGTCTAGGTCTTATTTTCTGCGTTGAGAAAAGGGCACCGGTGGTTTTCTGATGTCTCGGTCAGTGCAAGGCTAAATGCCAAGGTTTCATGAATAATGAAGGGCTTCCTATCAGAATGTTTGTTCGGCTTAAGGAGAAGGTGTTTCTGTCTTCTAGTCTTAAGAAGGATGCAAGGGTTTGATTGGCATAGAAAGGGGTGCAGGGACAGTGCCGGGAGGGAGCTGGGAGGAAGGTCCCTCACCTTCGCAGTGAAGTGCCGGCACTTGATCTGGGCTGATGCTCAGGAGCTTCAGTGCTGCCTCCCATCTGGGGAATGTGTCAGGAAGCAGGGCTGGACCTGTAAGGTCTGTGTGTACTTTGACTGCTAACAGCCTGATGATTGTTTACTAATACTCCAGCCCTCGTTAATGTTGCCACCATCGCTCCCTGCTACACAGTGTTGAAATTACATTCAGAGATTAAAAAAAAAAAAAAATTGTGTGTGTAGCAATATTGTTCCACAAAACTAAGTGCAAAATATCTTTTAACAAACAATGATGGTAAGAAATATTTGACACAGTCATGCAAAAATGCATCTCCATTTACAAAGCCTTAGAACATTTCCGAAACACGCCCTAGGCTTTTCCACCGTGAACCTTAATGATCTTACTCATTTTTCTTGGCGTTTAAATGTGGCTGTTTGTGTAAGAGGCGGTAACATGCAAGTTCGAGGATCTCCAGTCCACCAAATATTCTCTCCTGCAGCACGAAGATGACGATGACAATGATGAAATACCACCGGACAAGACTGTACAGGTAGATGAACAGGCACATTGTGGGGCTGAACAGGGTCCAGTAGAGGATGGAGAGGAATTTGACCACCAGCACCCTGAGCTCTGACTTGCAAGGAGGGACAACCGTCTGCCCCGTGAAGGAAAAATTCTTCTCTCCTTGATAGAAGGAGCGCAGCCTCTCTTCTTTCTCCTCCCACCGCTTGTGGCACCAGAGCTGGAGGTCCTCCTTGGACTTGGGGAGGGTGTTCACGGGGTACCGGTGGACGTGGAAGTGGATCTCCTTGGGAAAGTCCCCGAGGAGGAGGTGCTTCTCCGTCTGGGGAATGTTGTGAGGGTATGCCACCGTGATGTCATGGACAGCATCAAGGTTCTTACCTAGGTTTTGGGAAAGATAAAAATACAGACGGAGTAAAGATCCATCTGGACAGCAATGCTGATTCACACTGAAGGCAGGGAAAGAAAAATCAGGACAGAGTGAACCAAGATGAACAAACAAGGGCTATAAATACCTGTGTTCCTGGGCTCTTGCGTCAATATTTACCAGTCATTTTTAGTTTTTTATCTGCTTGCTAATTACCACAAAGACCTTTAGAAAGAAATCATCTTTGTTTCTAGAAATAGGAATCTGCCATTCAAGAATTAAATAAGCACCTTAAATTAGATTTGAGATAGGAATTAAAGAACACAGCTCTTTTCCACCAACAGGATTCACTGTTTATAGAGAACTCCTATCAATAGAAACCCTCTCTCCAAATAAAAAACGTTCTTACTTTTGACCCAATATCACTACAAAGGCTACTGGAAAGAAAAACTCTGTGTCAGAGTTGATAGAGTGGTCAGACATGCCTGAAAACCTCCATATGACTTTTTAATTTCTAGAAATGTCAGTGTGAAGTTGAATTCAGAGACTGAATGAGACCCTGACTTAATACTGCCATCATCCTAAGAAATTTCATTGTTTGGTTACTGTGGGGTTGTTTTCAGCAAAGTCATATGCCAGGTGCTGGAGATGGAGAAGTGAACCAAAAAACACCAATCCCTAACTTCACTCCAGAACTCACAGCAGAATCAGGGAGACAGCAAGTGTCTTAATGGGGAGCCATGGCAGGTGAACCTCCCAGCGGAGAGCATGGAGGGCTCAAGGCACTAAACTAGGCTGGAGGCGTTCAGTGAAGACACTCACTGTCAAACTTGAGAAAGGGAACTCAAGTCTGTAGGTGATAGAGAAGCACCTTAAGTGGTAGAGAACCTCTTAAGGATTTTAAATAGACAAGGAACCAGAATTTGTTTCATTTGAGCAGGGGTTAGCTTGAGAGCAGTAACAAGAATAGTTTGGAGAGGACCGGGGGCAAAGAGGTTGGAAGAGTAGTTTGGTCATTACAAGGCAAGAAATGAAGAGGAGGTAGGGACTAAAAGAAGTGACGTGTTCATCCATTCGTCTGCTGATGGGCATCTAGGTTGCTTCCATGTCCTGGCTATTATAAACAGTGCTGTGATGAACATTGGGGTGCACGTCTCTTTCAGATCTGGTTTCCTCGCTGTGTATGCCCAGAAGTGGAATTTCTAGGTCATATGGCAGTTCTATTTCCAGCTTTTTAAGAAATCTCCACACTGTATTCCATAGTGGCTGTACTAATTTGCATTCCCACCAACAGTGTAAGAGGGATCGGGTGGAGAGGGAGGTGGGAGGGGGGATCGGGATGGGGAATACATGTAAATCCATGGCTAATTCATTTCAATGTATGACAAAAACCACTGCAATGATGTAAAGTAATTAGCCTCCAACTAATAAAAATAAATGAAAAAAAAAAAGTAAAAAAAAAAAAAAAAAAAGTGACGTGTTCAAAAAAAATCACAAGGGAGGACTGACCTGACAGAGTGCTCAACTGGAGGGGGTGGAATGAGCCCAGGTTTATTTCTGTTTGGGGTTCTTGAACGGACTAGGGGAAGGGATCTCTGAGATTAGAAATGGAACTAGAGTGCCATCTTTAAGGAATCAAAAGGATCACCCATGGAATCCTGTAAGAGGCCCAGGAAGGTTAAGTTTTTGGCCCAAGGACACACAGTGTGTTGATGCATAATCTCTGAATGTTGCTTTCTTCCATACCAAGTAATCTTCAGTGAGAGACTTTTGATGTGAACTTTTGATTCATCACAGAACTCTATGATGTAGGCAAAATTAACTTGTGGTGGAAATCAGAACAGTAGTTGCCTATGGGGGTGGGGACTGGTGGGAAGGGAGCATGAGGAAATTTGGGGGTGGGGGGGTGGGGGGGACAGAGACATTCTGTATCTTGATTAAGAGTTTGGATTCCATTAAATGGTACATTTAAGACCTGTTCAGTTTCACTCTATCCCAATTTTACCTCAATCTTAAGAACAACAAAGATACAAAGCAACTTCCCCACCTTGTATCACCATGTTTCCCCTTCATCCTGAACCATTAGGTTGTGCTCAATTTCTCCGTAAATGTTGGCAGGCAGTCTCCTCTCCTCTGTGATTTACTTTAGGGAAAGGACTAGGTTTCAATCTGGTTTCAGAACTGTCTTATAAAATACTCCAGCCCTCAAGAGCTATGTCGTAAGAAATGAGAATTCCCGTATCGACAAGGTTTAGACTCAGAACTGGAGGGAAGTCCTTTTGGGACGTTGGCCACTGTGTACCTCGGAGCAGAGGAGGCAATGAAAGGTTGGTCCAGGCAACTCCAGTGCACTTGTACCTGATGGCCTGGAGGAAAGACGAGGCCCGACCTGTTCGGCCTCAGAGGAGGGAAATGGGTCCTGTGGTGAGAAGCCACAGGAAAATACTTTTTAACAGCTGTCGAGAGGTGATGTGCCCACTGTGTGAGAAAAGGCTGGCTGACTCCCACCTGGGGGGCTGTAGCAGGAACCTACCCACAGGAAGGAAGGCTGTCTGGTCAAGCACCCAAGATCGATTGTCACTGGAACACTGAGCACGATACATCCACTAAGATGGTAATATAATATGTCTTACCTGTTAACCTCACCTGCACTACAAACTGATCAACCTTGTGTCAATTCAACATTAATCATGACTACCCTGCTCTGTATTGATCAAACTTTTCCTTGAAAAGTGAGTTTGATGTTTTACTGCCCCCTCTACCTGTAGACCTCAGAGCCTGTTCATCGATGCCCATCAACCAGAACCATAATCCTTGTATTATCACAAATTGGTAGCAAAGTATATAGAATACATACTATATAGTAGTAAGAAACTGAAGATGCCCCTTTCTGCATTCCTCTTAGCAAGCTGTAGGGTAGGAGGTGTGTGTGTACATGCAGACAAGTGTCTGCTCAAAATACATACAGCGAGTTTGGGGACAGAGATGGTACCACTTACAGAAATGTTCTGTGAAAAAAATTTTTAGATTTATTGTAGTGCAGAGCATGAGGGCTGTGGAGGCAGACTGCCTAGGTTCAAATCCTAGCTCTGCTTCTTAGTAACTAATGAATTAATCTCTGTGGCTTATTTATTAGTTCCTATATCTATAAATTACCTCATAAGAGTTGTTGTGAGGAATAAATGAGATAAGTAAAAACACAAAACAGGATCTGATATGTAGTAAGTGCTCAACAAATGTTAGCTGCTGTGGCTGTTACTGAATCATAATGTTAGCATGTTGGGCTCTAATGTGAATTTAGCTTTGAGTAAAAAGCAGAGACATTACTTTGTCAACAAAGGTCTGTCAAGACAAGGCTATGGTTTTTCTAGTGGTCATGTATGGATGTGAGAGTTGGACTGTAAAGAAAGTTGAGTGCCGAAGAATTGATGCTTTTGAACTGTAGTGTTGGAGAAGACTCTTGAGAGTCCTTTGGACTGTGAGGAGATCCAACCAGTGCATCCTAAAGCAGATCAGTCCTGGGTGTTCACTGGTAGGACTGATGTTGAAGCTGAAACTCCAATACTTTGGCCACCTGATGCAAAGAGCTGACTCATTTGAAAAGACCCTGATGCTGGGAAAGATTGAGGGCAGGAGGAGAAGGGGAAGACAGAGGATGAGATTGTTGGATGGCATCACTGACTCAACGGACATGAGTCTGAGCAAGCTCTGGGAGCTGGTGATGGACAGGGAGGCCTGGCATGCTGTGGTTCATGGGGTCGCAAAGAGTCGGACATGACTGAGCGACTGAACTGAACTGAGTCCACAGATGCCAGCATGGATAGTGGGGAAAATACTGCATTCAAACATCTTTAAACCACTGTCCAGGGCACTGCTCTTCTGAGCCCTGAAGACACCAATTACCGACTGCATGTCTTCCACATAAGACAAATGTTCAAACTGTTATTTCACAAAGTGGCCAAGGACACTGCTCTGCCTCAAATATTTCAGACTCTTTCCCTGAAATATTTTATTTCAGCTTTATTCAATGACCAGCTCAAATTCTAAGGGTTCTAAGAAGAGTTTCCTTACGTATCCAGTGGTCTTGCCTGCAGTGAGTGCCTGAAGCATATGTTTCGATGTGCTCATTTGGGCATTCACCCGCCATCCTGCAGGACAGCAGGAGAAGCTCACGAGAACCCAGTGTCCCAGGAAAACATAAGAATCTTAAGGGCAGGACCATGTCTTTGACTCCTTAGAAGCTTAGTAACTAACATACTGCCCTGCACTTAAAACACGCGTTTTACCAATATCTATAGTCTGTCTATCTTCTCATCTAAAGATACAGGAGGGAATGATAATGCCTTCTGCATGAGGCTGTTATAACAATTCACTAAACTTTTATACACAAGGCTCTTTGCATAGGACGGGCACAAGGGAAGTTCTTAAATGTTAGCATCCATTACAACTTCTATATTCATTAATGAGACTGGCTTGCTCCATTGGATCTTTAAGCAACTTGGTTCTGTGAATTCTTGGTTCTGAAAGAATTACAACAATCTTGGATGAGGGTGTTGGGAGATCATCTTACAAAAAGGCAATATTCCAAAAGTTTCTATAAGTTGCTTGTTTGGAATTTAGAGCTGTGGAATGATAGAACTCAACATAATTAAAATAGTATCATAATAGTATTTAAATGCTATTTATATTTAATAGTATTTAAGACATTTTAATTATGTTGAGTTCTATCAATATAAGACTACTAAGAAAAGAGATTACTTTTCATACCATCTCTTCAAGACCTCCTGCCCTGGGGCCTCTAGCCCAGGGAAGTCCTTACTACCAGACAAGGTATCTTCCTCCCAGGGGTGGGCAGGCTGGCAGAGCTTGATTCACATGTAAATGACAATAATGAAATGGATAGTCAAAAGTTGAGATGTGACTTTATTTCATTTACCAATTTATAATAGTTAAAACAATGCATAATAGATTAAGATAAGTTCCTGCAATGACAAAGAAGTTACACTACCTTTAA